TTGGCCGGAATCAAACCTGGGACTTTTCAGTCTGCAGGCCGTCGCTCTATCCACTGAACCAAACCAGTTTCGACCATCCGATGTTTTTAAAGACACACCATAACACATCTGTGTCTGCTGCCCCTGGGAGAGACCTGCCACCCTGTGTTCCCACCCCACCCCCTTTCCTCGGGCCCTTGTGTGAACACTGGGCTGTGTCCACCCAAAGACCATGCCTTCCAAAAGGGCCCCAGAGACGCTGAACCCCGCCGTGCTGATCTGACCTTGGATCCAAGCACTTCTGGTAATGCCGAGCGCTGGCGAGGGAGCCTCGGCTAAGATGCCCGTCCGGGACACCACTCAACCCCACATTTCCCCCATGAACAAACCCATAACTTCCAGCTCTCTTCCAGCCTCCCAGTCCCACGCAGCCCTTCAAGTCACGGATGGGCTGGCACTGCCTCTGTGCCAAGGCAATGCCAAGGCCCCGCCTGTCTGCAGGGGAGGGATCGGGCAGCTCCGTCCGTGACTAACAGCTTCGGGCAGTGCAGCCCCAGGCCCCAGGCTCAGCAAGCCGCTGCCTTCCATCTCCTTAGGTGTCTGTCTCTACTCCCCACGGCATCTCTCACTAGCTGCTGCGATGCCTCCCGCTCTGGACTGGGGCCAAGGAACCCCCCTGAACCAATGTGAGTGCAGATGAGCCGCCAGAGGCTGAGTCCGAGCCGCCCAGAGCCCACAGGACGGCTCAGCGGTGCCTCTAGGTGGCTGTCCTGCTCAGGCGATCACAGCAAGGGCAGCCAGGCGTGCCCGCGAGGCTACCACAGTGTCAACAGCGTGGGCGCCGAATGTGGCCTCGCCTGGAAGCGGTGACACGGAACCACAGGAGAAACTGAGTCCTGACCCGCCCATGAACCTGCTGACGACACGTGGCTCTCACCCCAGGGCCCAGGGCCCAGCCCCGTGGGAAAGGTAGTGAGCGGGCCGAGGGACGGCAGCCGGCTGGCCATGTTTTCATAAAAGGAGCCTCGCCATCTCCCAGGTCACTCCCAAAGCCGCACGCAGGAGCTGGAGACAAGCCTGCCGTGTCCTTGGAGCTGAGATCCCTCTTGAGGCCTCTCTCCAACTAAGACTATGTGTTCCTCACTGCTTCCCAGAACATGGAGAATGGAAGCTTTTTTAAAAAATATGCTCTTACTGACTTTTAGAGAGAGAGAAGGGAGAAGGGGAGAGAGAGAGAAGCTTCAGTGATGAGAGAGAATCACTGATTGGCTGCCTCCTGCACACCTCACCCTGGGGATCCAGCCTGCAACCTGGGCACATGCCCTGACTGGGAATCTAACCAGAGACCTCTTGCTTCATGGGCTGATGCTCAAACACTGAGCCACATCGGAAGCTTTTAATGCTTAATGTCTGTCCTCTCAGGAGCATCATCCTTTCTGGAGGCATAGGCGGACCTCTCAGGAAACTCTCCTGTTTGGTTTAACCGAAGGCAGCTGTGAAGGAGAGGCACTCGGGGGCTGCTGGGAAATTACAGCTCCATACCAGCATTCCTCGTTTCTCCCAGCCTGGGCGGGAGGGGTGGTGAAGCACTCCTGTTAGCCACACTCTGAGGAGGAACCCACTTATCCGAGCGACATTCACTACAGCTTAGCACTTGCTTCCCTGACACCTGACACTGGATTTGGGACATTGGAGGGAGTGTGGCTACCTACACCGGCTTGAGAGTCCCTTTGGCATCAAAACAGCGAGTACATTGAAAATGCGTCTTCTCAGACTAGCCCTGAGTTCCCTGCTGTTGGTGGAACTCTGTGGTTATTTTCCCATGGAAAGCACCTACCGGCCGTTACTGCTGCTACATACCATTGCTTAACAGCAGGGGTGGGGAACCTGTTTTCTGCCAACAGTTATTTTCATATTTATAACATCATTTGCTTATATAATTCAGCTAATATAAATTTATGTTGCTTTGAAAAAAGTTCCTAGAGTTATTGAATTTTGAGTCCTACATGCGGTTGCCTTGGCAGGGCCAGGCCAAACGATTTCTCCAGCCTTATATGGCCCACGAGCCAGACATTCCCCACCCCTGCTCAAAGGAGGATCCCAAGCAAAGCCAGGTTCAAGGGCAAGGACAGTAAACTTCACCCCTTTACAGGGAGCGGTGAGGCAGCCCCAGAGCTGGGCAGGGGAGACACTGTGGTAGCCACTGCGGAAAACACAGTGTCAGGGTTCAGTCTGTCTCTAGATAAAGGTTCAGTCCTCCAGGGTTCCCATATCCGTTCATTCATCTCTTATGAATCCAACAAATATTTATTGGCATCGCCTGCATGCCAAGTGCTGTTCTAAGCACTAAGGATACAGTATTGTTTGAAATTAACATTTTCTCCCAGCATAAATTTGAAATGGGAGTCACTGGTCAATCTCCAGCCTCCCTTGCAGCTAGGTGGGGCCATGAGATCAAGTCCTGACCTATAGCAAGTCCACCACACACCTCTCTGACAATCTCCTGGGCTCTTGTGTTTTCTCTGGAAATCTGCTGGAGAGAGAAGATGCTGAGGCCCCGAGGCTGATGGTGGGGAGAAAGTGCCATGGAGGGAGCCTTGGCCCCAGTGGCAGCGTGGAAGGAAGCCAGTGTCCTGTGCTCCCCACCATCACCGTGACATATCCGACTACAGGCTGTGAGAAGTCAGCTCTCACTGTCTAAACGCCAGTGACAGGGGTGTGTCAGAGCTGTGTGTGAGCATGCCCTTCGATAGGAGCTTGGGGCTGAAGACAACTAGTAAATTCGTGGGACAGATCAGCATGTTGGGAGCTCAGTGCCCTCGGGGTGTGGCTCACAGGGAAGCCTCCTGGGGAAGCCTGGGAAGGCCTGGGTATACCTGAGGGGAGGCACCCACACAGGTTTGGAGTGGGGTAGCATAACCTGACTCGGAATTCTAAGGTGCTCCTTTGTCTACCACGTAGAAAATAGACTGCAGAGGGCCAGGGCGAGACAGGAGAGAGGCTGGTGCAAGAACAACTGAGAAATGTTGGGTGAAACTAAGGTATTGACAGTGAATGTAATTTTTTAAAGTCATAGTTTGGATACAGAGCCAAGAGTGCTAATGGAACACTGTGAATAGTTTACCCTAAACAAGAAACATGGAACTGATAAATAGGTTGACCAGTCGGTTTTCCCAGGAGAGGCCAGCTATAAATTGGACTGTGCATTCTGAGGCAGTAAGCTGTGGCTAATGCTACTCAGAAAGAAGATGAGCTGGGGGATTAGATACAACCGCCACGGGAATAAGAGTAAGGAGAGAAAATAAATCCAAGGGCTGAGGGTAGGGACACAGCAACATTATGGAGATGGAAAGACAAAGGATCTGTAGTGGAGGGTCAACCAAGAGCAGGTAAGGACAGAAGATGCTGGAGAGATCGTGTAGGGTGCGAAGAAGGCAAGTCCAGTGCCATCCACACTTGACACACGTGTTTGTTTTTTACAAAGAAGTAAAACATGCCGAAACTGATTTGGCTCATTCTGTGAACTGGAGGGTCCCAGGTTCGATTCTGGTCAAGGGTATATACATTGGTTGCAGGCACATCCCCAGTAGGGGGTGTGCAGAGGCAGCTGGTTGATGTTTCTCTCTCATCGATGTTCCTAGCTCTCTGTCCCTCTCCCTTCCTCTCTGTAAAAAATTAATAAAATATATTAAAAAAAAGAAGTAAAACACTTTAGCTCTTAAGGTTCCAAAATACAAGGTAGTAAGTATTAATTGTACTATTTGTTCATTTGCCTGCACACTTATAACCACCAGGAATGTTTAATGTTTAACAAAGACATTTACAGGCCACGGGAGTCCCAGGTCCCCATGAGTGCTGACTTGGTTTCAGCTTGCAGCTCCTTGCTATGGTCCTGCCTGTGGTGCTCTTGGATTGGGCTACTGGAGCCCTGTCTCCCTGCCCCTCCCTCCTAACCACACCCGGCATTTCCTGTTGCTAAGGGCTCTGTTCCTGCTTCTGTGCGCTTCCTCCTAGTCAGTTCTCCTGACACAGCCAGTGTGTGCATCCCTGGGCCCCAGGGGTGTCCCAGGGCAGCTCTGTGGGGGAGGGTAGCAAACTGTGGGTGAGCTGCCTGGCATAGCCTGATGCAGGTGTGTGCTGCGGGGAGGGGCAAGCAGGAGTGGAAGCCAGGGAGGTGGGTCAAGGCCTCGGGCCTCCTTCTGAACTCTCACCTCAGACTTCCCAACGCTGGGCAGGCCAGCTCCTCAGCAAGTTCCTCAGAGGCAAACCTGGGTCTCTGCCTCTATGGCTATTCCTTCTATTCCTTTAAAACTCACTCCCATCAGCTGTCATCCCACCAGTGAGACTGCCCTGGTAAGACCAATGACTCCCACGGTCCATCCACTCTCAGACCAATGACTCAATGGTCCATTCACTCTCAGACCAATGAGAAGATAAAAGCCAACATTTTATCATCTGTGCTTTCAATGTCATGGAAAATCCGGGAGCTGCGTCAGTGTGACGTGCCCGCTGGTGCCTCCCTGGGACCCCTGCTCTCACAGCCATAAGTTCACCTCCCAGGTCCCCAGCTGCATAGCTCAGGCCTCTTGAATAATGGGAGTGTCCTTTCCATCGTCAGCTATTTCTTCCCAAATTCCATGGATGTCCCCTTTGACTGACACTACCAGAATTTCCATGTTTTCTCTCCTTATGGCATCTTCGTTGGCCAATGTTCATTTATTAATCATTTTTATAGCATGCTACCTAGGTCTGTCACTGGGAGGCAGCATAACTCTTCACTCTACTGTGTGTGAGACTAAGGACACGGTGACCCTCCCCTACAGACGGGCAGGGGTGGGACAGGGGACAGGAGGGCTGGCAGCCCAGGGCAGTTCCATTGCTGAGCTGTGTACCTGAACCTGAACAGGTTTGCTGGGAGCAGCTGCTACTCACTGAGCTGTGGGGACGGGCGCCATGCCTGCTGCTGCCAGCTCAGTGAGTAGCAAAGCCAGGCCACCTCCCTGCTTTGGAAAGCTGCTGCGGTGCTGGCGTGGGCAGCACAGACACTAAAACTGGGATGATACCAAGAGGATTGCATGGCCCCTGCGCAAGGGTGACACATGAATTTGTGAAGCATTCCGTATTTTTAAAATTAAAAAATTTCTTTGAAAAGTTGCCAAGAACATGAGCAGAAGTTATAGAAGACGCTGATGGCCAAGGAAAGGGTTTAAAAAAAAAAAAAAGAGAGAGAGAGAGAGAGAGAGAGAGAGAGAGAGAGAGAGAGAGAGGGACAGAAAATTAAAGCTGCTTGTTGGATGGGAGGGTCCTAGAGAGGAACAGTGTGTGACAGAGAAGACATGTTATGAGACTGACCCCCTCGTGTGGGCGAGTGGGGTGCAGGCCCATGCATGGAGTGTGAGGGTTAGACACAGCCATTTATCCACTCTCACTGAGCAGGGGATCGCACGGCTCAGGTTATGGTGGGAAGACGAGCTCTCTCCTGATCGGACACTTTTCTCACTGGACCAAAAACCTGGGTCTTTACATGAGAAAAGAGAGCCCAGCTGGTGTGGCTCAGTGGTTGAGCATTGACCTATGAACCAGGAGGTCATGGTTCAATTCCAGGTTGGGGCACGTGCCTATGTTGTGGGCTAGATTCCCAGTAGAGGGGTGCAGGAGGCAAGCGGTTAATAATCCTCTCTCATCGTTGATGGTTCTCTCTCTTTCTCCCTTCCTCTCTGAAATCAACAAATATATATTTTAAGAATAAATAAATGAGCTAATTGGTTTGGCTCAGTGGATAGAGTGTCGGCCTTCAGACTCAGGGGTCCCAGGTTCCATTCCGGTCAAGGGTATGTAATATGTTTGTGGGCACATCCCCAGTGGGAGGTGTGCAGGAGGCAGCTGATCGATGACTCTCTCTCATCGATGTTTCTAACTCTCTATCTCCCTTCTTCTCTGTACAAAATCAATAAAATATATTTTAAAAAAACTCAATAAAATATATTTTAAAAAAAATAGGTGAGAACGAAGAGGGGACAGGGCAGAGGAGGTCATGTGAAGCTGTGTTTGGAAGAAGGGAGTGAACTGACGACAGATGTGCAGGAAGGTTCCCAAGCCCTGGAGGCCTTGAGGAAGGAGAGACTGTCCCTCAGCTGCGTCTATCTCCAGCCATGTCCGCTCTGCCTGAACCCTGCAGAGTGTGAGACACAAGGCTGTCCTCCCGCTCCTGTTCCCACCAACCTCTCCCAACCCGCAGGCTCCGTGCCAGCGCTGACCCTCGGGGTCTCCAGGCAACACCAGGCCCGACACCCGGGACAGGCTTTCTCTGTGTCCCATCAAGTGCACAGGGTTCAGGAAATGGGCAGAACAACCCCTGGAAGGTAAGTTAAAGCCATGACTGTAAGTAGAAAAACACACTACCAGTGTGCCCTGTCCTAGGGATTTAATATTAGAGTGAGTCAAATCCAAATGCTTCCTGGAGAATCTTGAGACAATATTCCCACAAATCCTATATAATAAAAGCATAATATTCTAAGGATATGCTAAGGCTGTTCAACCACTCGCTATGATGTGCACTGACCACCTGGGGGCACACAGTTGGATGCTCCACCAGTTGATATGACATGCACTGACCACCAGGAGGCAGACCCTCTGACCAGTAGGTTAGCTTGCTGCTGGGGTCCAGCTGATCGAAACTGAACAAAAAAGGCCGGACACACTCTGGAGCCCTCTGTGGTTCTTCCCCCTGGCCAACCTCCTGCATCCCTCCCTGGCTCTGATCATGCATCAGTGGGGCCCCTCTGGCCTTCATCCTCTCACAATCTGGGATCCCTCGGAAGATGTTGGAGAGCTGGTTTGGGGCCTATGCTGCAGGCCAGGCCGAGGGACCCCACGGGTGCACAAATTCATGTCAGAAAATAATTTATTGATTCTTTCATGGCTTCATGACTTCATTTTCTATTCTGTGACTTTTCTACAAACCCAAAAGTCATAACAATTAAAAATAATTTGAGCAGAGACAGGTTTGGCTCAGTGGATGGAGCGTCAGCCTGTGGACTGAAAGGTCCCACGTTCAATTCCGGTCAAGGGCAGGTATCTTGGTTGGGGCACATCCCCAGTGGGGGGTGTGCAGGAGGCAGCTGGTGGATGATTCTCTCTCATCGATGTTTCTAACTCTCTGTCTCTCTCCCTTCCTATAGGTAAAAAAATCAATAAAATATATATTTTTAAAAAGAATAATTTGAGTTGAAGGCTCAGTGAGTCACCTAAATTACCCAGCAGACAACTCAGACATCAGTCTCACCCGGTGCACAGACCACAGGCCTAAGGCAATAACGCCTCCAACTCTCTCCCTTGTCACAGCACCAAGGAAAGACACAAATGCAGCTCAGACTACAGTGTCCTACCTGGTGTCTGTCTGAGAATAAAAGAATAAAAGAATAAAAGAATAAAAGAATAAAAGAATAAATAAGAGGATAAGCCTAATGAAAGAAGTCAAGGGGCAAATGGTTCATCACAAAATAACAACACATCCACTCTTCTGAATCCCTCCATCTCTCCCACCCACTCAGATTTCTCTTACAGCCCTACCTTCCTAAACACCCCTCCCCCAACCTGATGAAACCTGAGGACCCAGCCACCTCATCTTTCAACCGCCCAGCCCCAGACCTCCTGCACCTGCTCCTCCCACTGCCTCCTCCACAGCATTCAGACGGCATCTCAATGTTATTCCCTCAAAGGCCTTTCCTTCATCCCCAGGGAGGCAGGTTTCCCTGTCGTCCGTCCCGGGACACCGCACAGGTGTCACTCCACAGCAGGTGCCCCTTTGTGACGAGCATTTACCAGGTAACGTCTGTGGGCCCGAGGAGCAGGCACTGAATTGTGGGCCCGTGGAGCAGGCACTGCGCCTGCAGGACCAGGACCATGTGAACCGCTGTGTGCACAGCGGTAGCTCAGCTCCTGGACCTGCGAGTTGGGGTTTCAGAGAGTAAGCACCGTGTCCACACATGGGCTCAGACCTCACAGGCAGCCGGAAGCTGGGGCGGGGCCTGCCTCACCTGTTGGGGCCAAACGCCAGGGACAGCAGGAACGAAAGTCCTTCCCTGAGGACAGGACATCGCATGGGGCCCTAGACATGGTGAGAAGTTGGCTGGGAGTCCGTCCAGGACCCAGACCCATCGCCCTGGGCTCTGCCACTGTGACTTGGCGAGACACAGCTCCTGGGACCCAAAATCTGTCCTGGAGAAGGGGAGGGGTGCCAGCTGGCATCAAGAAGAAACCACGTGGCAGGTGCCCCCCCTTCCCAGGAGCAGCTGCCCCGTGGAGTTCAGCAGTTCCTGTGCTTTGAGGGACAGGGCACCCCGTTGTCACAGTAACTTTTCAAGGAATCCTGGGGGTCCCTCTCAGTCCCAGGAGCCCCCACGTGGCCCCCCAACTGTGCCTCAGAAGGTCTGTGTAGTCACTCTCCCCTCTGCCCTGCCATGTCATTTGGAAGGCATTCTCACCTGGAAACAAAGGGAATTCTATCGGGGCAAAGACAGAAGCTTTATTGGGTGGTATTAATAAAGACCGTGCTTCCCAAATAATCAAAAAAGTTATTTAATACATGTCTTGCCCTTTCTAGTCAAATGTCAGGCACGCAATTGCACAGAGGATCCGTCTCTGAGTCTTCCCGGTCTGAGTGCAGACGTGGCTGTAAGAAGGGCTCTGAGAAGGGAAGTGGGGGGACCAGGGCCACTTCTCTTTCCATTCTGCACTCCCCCCCCCCCCCCCCTGTAACCTAACGGAATCCATTTCCCCCATCAGTCTCTGAGGACAAATGAGTCACTGAAAACCCAGGAACGGGGGCCGGAGAGCCGGGCTGTTCCATTTACTGACGCACCTTCTCGGGCCAGTCCATGGTGGTCCTGAACTTTTTTCTTAGCTTGAAATAAAAACATTGGAGTCCATAAACTCTTAACTCTCCTCTTACTCCCAAGGTGTGGCGACATCTCTCCTGGCCCACAGAGCATCCCGCTGGAAGCCAAGAGACACCCAACCCCTCCCCTCCCCCCCTCCCCCCCCCAGCACCGCTCAAAGACCTTTCCTTCATCCCCCAGCATCCCGAGTCTCTCAGGATCCCACGGAGGCGGCTCCACCCCCCTCCCCTGAGTCAGACCATCTGGGAGAGGCCGGAGCATCAGGCTCTCCAAGCCCAGCAGGTCCCTGTGAGCCTCCCTGCAGCAGCCACCGCCCCAGGGGGTCAGGGCCCAGCCTGGTGCAGTGGCTGGGCCCTGACAAAGCTGCAGCCTGGGGCTGGAGTACACCATGAGTCAGTGGTAAGACCTCCACCAGGACAAGAGCAGGGCCCTCCGGGGGCAGGACCATGACGATGGGACCACAGTACTCTGTGTGTGTCTGTGTGTGTGTGTGTGTGTGTGTGTGTGTGTGTGTGTGTGTTTGTATTGATTTCAGAGAGAGAGGGGGAGAGAGAAAGAGAAACATCAATGATGAGAGGGAATCATTGATCGGCTGCCTCCTGCACATCCCCTACTGGGGATCCAACCAGAAACCTGGGCATGTGCCCTTGACCGGTATTGAACCCAGGACTCTTCAGACCGGAAACCAATGCTCTGTCCACTGAGCCAAACCAGACAGGGCGGAGCAGCCAGAAGCAAAAGCAAAGTGGTGATTCCAAACCTTATTTTCTAGTCATGTTGCCCGTGTCCTGAGCATCTCACTGAGGGACTCTCTGAAGGGCAGAGCTCTGTTTGGAGGGCACGGGGTGGCGTGGCGGGCCCCGGCCGGCGAGGTCAGCTCCTCCAGCTCTCCTCCTGGGCCTCAGTTTGGGTGTTGGCGGGCAATCCCCATGCGGATGCTTCAGAACAAGTGTCAGCCTCCCTAATCAGGAATGTTAAGGGTTTGTGAGGCTCTCTATGCAGCATATGCCAGTGATGGAAAAACATTATTGATCTAAAAACAACTTCAGAATGCAGACCCGCAGGTCTGTCCTCCTGTCTTTCTGACCATGATCTGCTATTGGTTGTGGAACTGAGGTTGTGCTGCTCATGAATGGAGCCTGAGTTGTGATGGAACCACAAAATGATAAAATGTGCAATGGGCTGTTTAGAGAAAAAAACAAAAACAAAAAATCACAACTACTATAA